AATCTCATTTTATTGAATTGTGTATAAAATAATAGTTGTTTTTAAATAATTTTTTTTAGTTTTCAAAATTTAGATATTTGTTTTAATCAAAGTTAGTATTCTTTACGACAATTGCAGCTCTAATAACAAACTTGTTACAGGATCGATTTTTCAGTGTTTTTAAAGATATTTTTGTATTGTTTGTGACCAAAATAAGCGAAAATGCAAGTAGTATGACTTTATAAGTATAACAGCTTTTTAATTTTTTTTAAACAGGTACTCTGTTTTCGAATGCCAAAATATGGATCTAGGCATAGACTTTATAACTGTTTTATGAATATGATTATAAATAATTATAACTACTTAATTTAAATTTAATGTTTAAATGTTTGTTTCGATTGTTTTTATTTTCATATCAATCACATTACTAGAAATAAACATATAAGCTTTCAAATCGTTGGATCATATCCCAACTGAGCAATTTATAATTTGTAGGCTTTCTAATTGATTTTATTATTAAAGCTATTAGAAGTGTAAAGTTATTGGCAAGGTAAAAATGAAAGTAATACAGATTTATAAGTAGTGCTAGTAAAGCTCTAGTTGGATTCTTACCCTTAACATAATCATGAATTCGCCCCTGTGAAACACACTCAGGGCTGGATTAAGGTCTAGTAGTGTCCTAGACCCAGGTAATACTTGGGAATAATAATGATAATAATAATAACTCACTCTTGCCTCTATTCTGCTAGTTTTACAAACCTATTTTTTTTTTTACTTGGGTGGCCGGGGTCCTAGGACCGAGTCTAGGTAGCCTATGTGCTAATCTGGTACTGAACATACTTCATTTTAACGTAATGTTTGATTGATTAATATTATGGTTATAATGTTTAAAATAATAGTTTTATTATTCATACCTTTTAATCTTATGAAGGTTATTTTGCATTGTTAGCTTAGTATGTAGTTTTAGAGCTAATCTAAATCTCCTGAGCTAGCTGTATCCCGTACGCCATTATAGGTTTACGTCTAAAGTATCGCTTTAATTTTTGTGTTCGCATTGATTTGTGATATTACGCACTTTTTAAACGGGTTGTTTCATAAAATCAGCTTCAATAATATGTAACTAACAAGACCTACAAAACATTTGCGGTAGTTTTCATGTCTTTTGCTTGAATTTTCCTTATTCTATCATTTTCACGCACGCCATTTGATCTATGCTTTCCTGTAGGCACAATGTGTTAGTTCGATAAATCCTTGTCTATTTGAAAAACATTTAAGAGGTCAGACAAACAAACTCACGTAAACTTAGCTTTATTCAATAAAACTTCACCTAAATTATACAATAAAGTAAAGTAATGATATTTATAATAATGTACAAAGAATGAAACAGTTATGACTGTTCAGTGTATGACAGTTTTATGAGTTGAAAGAAAGAAACTCACAAGAACAAAGAATAAAACCCATACTGAAAAAAGAAAAGAAAACTTAGCTAAAATGTTTTATAGCAGTTTACCAAACAAACCAAAGTTGAGAAAGCCCATAGCAACTGTATTTAGTGTAATGCTAATATTTTTTTTGGAAATTACACGGGGTTAAGTGTTGTTTGTGTGAAATACTTTGCAAATATAAATACTAACGTTGAATTGAAGCCAATAGTCACGACATTGTGCCATCGTGTAGCATACTCCATACATTGAAAAGTTTGACGAAGCAAAAAAAAAAAAAACAGGTAAGATGATTGTGAATGGAAAAACCAATATGTAATCCGGATCTCTCGGACAAAGGCCATTCTTACAATATGAAATGTGTAGCGTTTAGTTGAGATATTTACGAGAAAGGTTCCGGACAGACAAACGCAGGCGTATTATTTAGATAGATTTACTTTTAGTTCTGATATACTATGGTAGCTTATTATTTATTTACAAGGTTCGAATATTTCGGAATACATCTATTCTATATTTAGTAAAATCTGAAAATAATGTTACAAAGTAATCGACTCATTTTTCGGAAAGCGTAACTAAATGATAAAGCAAAACATGAAAGTAATAATAGGAAGCATTTATTAAACGTTTCGGAATCATCAAAATTCTGTCATCAGTAATCTAAAGATACAAAAAAACAACAACAATATTTGTAATTACAACAGAAATATGATATACATAAGAAGTAAACAACTTGAATATACATATTATAGTACGAGAAAACGAAAAAACGTGGCACAAATGAAAGAGTTGAATTAAAATATATTTAAATCAAGTGAATAATGTGTATTATGTAGGTACAGAATACGAGTTTTTTATATATAATGTTTATCTTATTCAATATATTTGTAACACTATTTTCAGATTTCGCTGAAGATGGAATAAGTGATTCCGAAACGTTCGAACTTTCCAAATAAAATGTTTTGTGTTTTGTCAACTTTTTATTAAAAGTTATTGATAATTAACTTTCTTTTATTTTAACGTTACAGTGAATTGAGTTTATAGGATTTAATTTTAAATCTTACAAAATTTTGATGAATCTTTCTTCGGTAAATTAAACGCATTAGACACAAGTATGCGATAAAAACGAAGGAACATAAAGAATAAGTTTTCGTCAAAAACTAAAGTTGTAGCATTGTACCGGAGGGTGTCGCTTAAGCATAACGGTTTGGGCCATACATTTAGAAGTTTTTGTTTCATTCAATTTTAATTGTATCTTAACCCCAGGATTAAAAAATAAAATTTTAATGCTATGTAAATTATAAATGTCATTTTCCATAAAAAGCATATATAATAATGCTCTGAAAAAACACGTTTAAGCTGCTGAACGTTTGTAAATTATAGCGAAGTGTAAGTGTTTTGTTAATTGTTATAAATATTTTGTGAGAAAATCAAAATGTATGCTATGTATTATATACTCGTAATACTAATAACTTTTATTATTAGTATAATACTAATAGTAAATAGATTCTGGTCTAGGTCTCGACTTTGGCCTTAGATATACGTTGTTTTTTTAAACATCGATTTTTTATACATTCCTTGCTAAACAAAACCCATTTCCATTTATTGGAATTATTATATTTATACTATAATTTTTAACATAAAATGATATAATTATTACTGTGTACTGACTTCCCTTTTGATAAGTATTATTTTTAAAGTTAAAGTAACCTGTTTTCAGTAAGTAGTAATACTAATAGTTGTACTGCAGGCACATGGATAACTAGTATACCATTACCAATACCAGTTAAAAATTGCTATGCACAGTTTACTGAAATGTTTGAGACTTATAATTGACAACATTGACCTGCAAAAATGTAATGTATACTCTTTTAGTCTTACTGTGTTTGCAAGTTATGTTTATAGTAATATTCAATATATGTGATGATGAAATGCACTGTTAATCTTGCAATAATTGTAGAAGAGGAAGTGAGTAATTTTTTAGTAAGTGTAATAAGGAATGATGAGATAAACTTTCTTTACTTAAAAGTTTATCAAGGGCCAAAATAGTAGCAATAGTATTGTGCACAGTCAATCATCACTGTGAGGAGGTGTGCTACCATTCTTGTATAAAGTCAACAGACTGTCATGTAGTATTTTTAAGTAACTTGCTAGATCATAAGATATGCCCATCAGTGATCATGGTCTAATCATTAAAATAAGAGAGAACTAGATTCAAGAATTAACAAACATCATATTACTACCCCAGTCATTCATCATTTCTGTCTTTGCTTTTGGTGACCAATTAAATTTACACTTTGGCTAGTCTTTGAAGCAGTAATGAATCTGATTTTTTACTTATTGAAAAAGAAAATAATTGTTAGGATAATAGCAGGCCAGTTGACCCATAGGGTTTACATAATCTAATACTTAAGGCACAAGTCCTTACATTGAACATGAATGTATTGTAGAGGATTCCCTACTTAACTAGAACTTCTTTATTAAAGTATTTGTTTTGGTTCCTTCCAGTTTTTCTTTTTTTATGTATAAATCTAAAATCACAGTACCTCGAAAAATTTAAGTTTTAAAACATTTAATATACAGACAACAAGATACTATTTAGACCATCAAGGCTGTCCTTGCACACTCACCCTTGAAACAAGTAACAATTTAAACCAGTTCTTTGTTATTTAGGAAATTACACATTTCTCTTAAACCCATTTAAAGTGTTGTGCTCCACTATTCTTGACAGCAACTCGTTCCATTAGTCATGTCACTTTAATAGAAAAATAAGGCTTTTTTTCCCCCAAATCTTAACCTTTTGTCCTCTCATCTAAGGGTAGCCTTAGGGAGATGTTAGGAATGCAGCCATACCAGATCACACTTGTAGAGGCCCTGCAATTGAACTAAGAATTTTTTTAATTGAATGTTATTATTTCGTGTATAGCCCTTGGTGTTTTATTCTATTCTGTTGATTATAGTTTTCATTCCTATTGTATAATGATTTATGTTTAATACTATACTAGCCAAACTCAAGAAAGTAGAAACTTGTTCATTGACAAAGAACAGGCATTTGATCAGTTATTACGCCTGGTGTATTCTCCATAGCTGTGGACTGTTATGCTCATTGTATTAAAGTTTGCTTTCAAATCTTTAAGTAGTCATGAAAAAAGGCATGTTTAAAATGTTTACTCAGTCTGTAACTTTTTCCGATACAATATCTTGCCTCTCTAACATAATAGCTTTTCTTGACTTATACTGCCCTCTATATGCACAAATTTTCACTCACCATTAGCCTTGATATTCTCACCTATCCTCACAACTCCTAGTACAGCTGACTCCCTCTATGTAGCTTAGCTCAGCTTCAGTTCTTGATTGGAACTCATGATGTTTAGGCATGTTGCTCAAGCTTTACTCACAGAATTTTAATCATTTACTTGTTTTTTTGGAGAACTTAGCTTTTGTTTTAGTTTGCCACACTTTAGTTCTCTACTTTTTCACTTCTACATGTTAATATTACATGTCTTTAATAAAAAATTTTGGAGCTCCCTGTGTGGATTTTATATTATTTTCATTCATCAATCTCATGAATTCAGAGTTTAATGTTTCAACTACATCTACTGCTACTCCTACAGCTACTCCTACTTACTTCATCTACAATGATCTCGGGTCTGCAGTTATGGCCTTAGTTTGCCAGGATTTGGCTGCTTTCATGGAGACTTCAAATTCACCTAAAGATTATCCTGTCATGCCTTGTTCAGGTATGACTGAACAAGAGATCAATGTTTTTGACAGCCTGTTTCCTTCCCCATCCTATGCCACACAGTCATGTTTAGCTCCAGTGGATGTGCCCAGGCCTCCTACTCATTTCCTAGAGTTGATAAAACAGGTTTGTTACATTTTATCCTTGTCTCCCATTTTCTTTGATTCCTCTCCTTCACTTTCAAGTGAAACAATTACATTCTGAGGTCAGTATGCCTCAACTCCTACATAATATGGAAGCCCATGCTTTGGCTTACCATTGGCCTGAGTTTCCTTTTTTGGACTTGCAGCTGTTGGATTCTCTTTTTCCTCTGTGGGGTTTGGATCCCAATACTTTGGCTACATTTTCTGAACCTCAATTCTTCCATATCCAACTCACTTTATCCTCCTCCTTCGATCCCTTTCCTCGATTCACCTTTTGTCTGGGCCCTTCATTGTTCCCCTAAGGGGTTTTCAATGGAGACTTGTGCCCTAATGTTTTCCATTATGGTACAGTTGTCCTTTTCCACCCTTTCCCTCCAAACATGGCTCCTTTGTTATTGGGATCTTTTGGGTCAGGATGCCCTTTTGTCCCATGTCTGTTTATCCCCAACCTTCATATGGGACTTGTGCATAAATTGCTTTTGAAGGCAAAATGTCTTTGTGGGTCTTCCTGACTCATTAGAATACAGAGTTAAGTCTGCCTGTTTGCACACCTCCATTTCCTCATTATCTTTCTGTTTGTCAGGAAAGGATGATATTGTAATGACTGAAATAATCATGAATTTTACCCTTCCTTAACCAGTTCAGAATATATTTTTATTCACACAATATGGTTTTCCAAATTTTTGTGCAGATGTTCTGCAATTAGAGTGAAATTCTTGTTGATAGTATATCAAAAATAAGTAAACACACTGTAATCCTTTACTAACAAGTCAGGTCAAGCTTCCATATGCATCTGTTATCAGTTCGGCATCACGTCTGACCCACCCACTCTAACAGTATTATATGATTTAGGGGTTTTTGCTGTAAATGTTATTTAGAATAGTTGGGACGTATGCAACAGTGGATTTTGGTAAACATTCTTTAATGTACATTTAACAAAATTATTGTATTCTGTTGTGGTTAAGTAGTTTTTGTTTTCCATTTTTCTGTGAGGATTTAAATTTAGAAGAGTCGTATCAAAGGAACATATAAATACTGTACATAGTTTAATGATGCTGTAACATTAAGTTTATTATGGTTTTGCAGATATACTTAAAAGAAAGCATGGCTGATGAAAGTGGAATCCCTTCTGGACTTGAACAGTATCTTCCACCTGTATATTGTAGCTCAGATAAATGTACAGAAGACAACATCCCATTTGAAAGTTCCTTTCCAGTTGAGGCACCAAATGATTCGTGTGCATATTCCTTTTGCTCTAAAGAAAATATACACCAGTCTTTATCATTTCTAGCCCGTGTAAGTATAAATGCTATTTTCTGCAATTCCTGCTTATATTATTATTTGTACATATGTATCAATTTTTATGTTTTTTAAAAGAAATATTTTATTCAAGCATTTTTCAGTTGCACTAAATTTTCATGAACCAATGATTATTTATGATTGTTTAAAAGAAACATTCTGACATTTCAACTACACAGCTTTGTAAACCTCTAGTAAATAATATACATTAAAGAACAAGAAATATGTTATTTTTTCAAACGGTGATCTTTCTGAAAGACTTCTAAACCAGTGATACGCTAAAAGGATTCAGGGCTAAGTTTTGAGTGTTATTTAAGAATGACATAATAATTTAAGATAAAGTTAGTATCTGTTAATGTTTTTTCTTCATAACATGAAATATATATATTACACAACTGTACATTCAAATGTGAGAGAAGTAGAGGTTCTGAGGGTGTGGCAGCACTCACTAGCTTGACATATAGGGGGAGGGAATGTTGTGTATGCATGATTTCCATCATATACAGGGGTTGCAATTTTATTCAGTGGTTTTCAGCACCTTCACTACAAAAATTGTTCTCGTGTCAATATGTACATTCAGGAAAATCCTAATAATGAGAAATAATTCACAACTTAACAGACTGTTCAAAAAGAGAAATGTACAAATTTTTAAAACTTATATTTATAAAGTCTTAAGTTGGAACAAATAACAAGAAAATTCAAATAACTGTAATTAAGCATATTACTGACCCTGGGAATATATTTAGAGGAAGAATTTGGGAGTGTCCAATATTGATGTTAATCTACAGTTTGTTAGCAAAAAATGTTTTTTAAATTCTAGGTAAATATTATCAGGTCCAGGAGCCTTATCTATTTTCAAAATCTACATTTTTTGCTAACAAACTGTAGATTACCTAGAATTTAAAAAGAGGTTAAGGACCAAGTTTTTGAGTTACTTACTGTCATTTAGCAGGAAGCAGGTGTTAGAAGACCGAAGGGTGGTTAATATTACTCCACTTTTTAAAAGGGTAAATAAGCATTGTTTAGGGAATTTTTAGTCGGTCAGTCTTACTATGATGGTGGGGAAAGTTTTAGAGAGTCTGATAAAAGTTGCTTTGCAGGATTATTTGATAAAGCTCAAAATTTTGTCATATAGTCAACGTGGATTTACAAATGTAAAATCTTACCTTACTAATGTACCACTTTCTTTGAGGCTGTTACTCCTTATCTGGATGAAGGTAAAGGGGTGAATTTTCAGAAAACGTTTAAAAAGATTGTTAACAAAAAAATTATCTCAGTTGGAGTTGGTGATAAGTTAGTTAAGTAGATTGATTGTTGGCTTGGTCTGAGGAAGCATTAATCTAACTGGACTAATGTTAGAAGTAGTGTGCAGCAGGATTTATGTTGAGACCATTTGTACTCCTCAGTTACATTAATGACTTAAGTAAGAACATAGTTAGGAAATTGGTTTACGTTTGCTTATGATATTGATGACAAGACTAAGGAGACATGTTTTCATTATACAAATTATTATTCCTCATTTGGAGTAGAGAATTGTTGAAGAAGTTTCAGAGGAGGGATCATAGGATGATTCTGAGTGTGGATAGGTTGAAATCTCTTAGCTTGTTCTCTCTCTTGAAGATAGAAGATCCAGGGAGATCTAATGGAAATATTCAAAGTTAGTAAAGGAATCGGTCAGATTTTTCATGTCAAATTCTATGAGCAGTAGGACAAGCAGACATAAGTTTAAGGTTTGGAAAGGTTCAACATGTCTCCAGATGTGGCAGTTTTATTTCTCCAGTAGGGTGGTATTATGCATTCATATATTTACAAAGCTTATAGTATGCAGGTGATAGCAGATTAATAAATTAACTTCTGTAGTGTTAAAGCATATCAGTGTATATGCATGATTAGTTAGTTTAATAAAAAGAGGAACATGGTATTTTTATGATCCAGTTATATATATATGCAGATGTAGACAGATATTACAGTAGAAGTAGATCTCTCAAATTACCAATTAAGTTTTCATGAAATACTGAACAAAAGAAATAATTTTAATTATATTTTTCATTAAGGAAATTTGTACTTAAATCAAGTTTGACAACTTTGCTAGAAATTAACCAGTTTCTTGTGCACTAAACTTCTATTAATATGAAGAGTTAGAAATCAAGTGAAACAAATCATAAGAGAAAATTATGAAGATCAATATTGTCAACTTAGACTAAATATATATATATATATATATATATAACAAATACTTCCTTGCAAACTAATATGTGGGATTAGAATTATATAGAAAAGTGTTTATATAAAACATTTTTGATACTAGATTGTCATGAAAAATTAGTTTAATGTGATTGAATAAGGAAAGAAATATAATATTATTAAAAACAGGCTTTGCTCTTATTTGATAATAAATACGTTTTGAATCTACATGCAAAACAGTTATTTTTATCAAAATTTGTGTAAAATGTTATTTTTAAGTATTTTTACTATTTGAAAATAATCACTCCTGTTTGCGAGCATTGTCATAGATGTTTCTGATAATTGTTTTAATGAATGCAAATAATTTATCGATATAAATTTAAACATATTATGACACTGCTATTATTTAAGAAGCTTTAATACAGCATGCACAGATGTTTAAAACTTATTTGTGACTATGCACATATATTAGTGCATCATGTGTAACCTCTAGGTATAGAGAAATTCATATTCAAGGAACATCTGCTAAAATAAGGAAATAACTAATCTACATATGTCTTAAACTTTTAATGCTCTGAAAAGTACCTATGTGCATATTAAAAAGATAAATGCACTCTAGGTTTAGCATGTAGATGTAAATAATTTTTAGCTATTACAAACTATTTATTTATATCTATCTATATATATATATATGACTTTCACTCACCATTCATTTCTTTATTGCTCAAGTTTTTTCTCAGAATAGTCTCTTAAATGCTGAAAATTTATTTTACTCCTTAGGTCTCATAATGAATGGCTTAATTATAGTGGTGTATTTACAGGAACTTTCTAATATTGGTTTCCCAACAATAAAAATCAATGGATCTTCAAAGTTTGACATCATTCAGCTAGTTAATGCTACTTATGATCTCCTTCAGCTGAACAAGCAGAATATAAAATTAAGAGATGATCTGGAGTATAGGTAAGATGGATAATTACTCGGTACATTGTATATGGATTGTTCACAAATTTGATGATTTTGCAAAATTATTAAATGATTTGGTTGTGTTTTTTTCACTCATTTGATAATAAGTTTATTCAGAAATGTTAGTTTGAAACCAGAATTCATATTCACTGTTTTTTTAAAAATATTTAAATGAGCCAATCCATTTTATTTGAAAGCTGTTATTGTATTTTAGCATCACATAAAGGCCAGTGACCTAAATTATACTGATTGTTAATTTTAATATTGAAATTTTTATAGAGTGAAAAGAATGACAGAATCAAACCATATCTCTTCTTTGGTTATCTTATGTAGAAGTTATTAAAAAATAAAGTTTTACATCTTTTTATTTAGAATATATATTTCAAATAAGTGTAATTTTTTTAGGGGAAGGAGAGGTGAGGGAACAATTTGTTGTTGTTGTAGTTAAAAATGCCAAAAAAACAATTAGCATATCAAAACAGTTCAAATTTGACAATACACTACAGGTAGCATTTTCGTGTTTTCCCCGTCACACCAAACATGCTCGCCCTTTCAGCCGTGGGGGGCATTATAATGTGACGGTCAATCCAACTATTCGTTGGTAAAAGAGTAGCCCAAGAGTTGGTGGTGGGTGGTGATGACTAGCTGCCTACCCTCTACTCTTACACTGCTAAATTAGGGACGGCTAGTGCAGATAGCCCTTGTGTAGCTTTCCACAAAATTCATAACAAACAATTTTGGTGTTTTTTCATTCTGAGTTGTTCTCCAAGTACTTCTTTTATGTAACCCAATTTGGAGTTCAGAGATTTTCACAAATTTATGTGATTTATAAATGCCCACATAAGGATATAAACTATATATTAAGTTTCGATGACGAGGAACCCACTTTGAGACTAATAATGGCTGGAGGTACTGATGATGACAAAACCTTGTTGAAACGTTGTACATTTGCTATTATGGTAAACTTATATTAAAGGTTTTCTTCATTACCCATTCAAGACATCTCCAGCCATTATTATATATATTTATTTGCACTTAGCACATCATGCCATTTTTACTTTAATCAAAACTGTGTAAAAATTACCTCTGCTCAGTGCTGAATTTCTTGTGTGCAGCAAAGTGATCCATCATGTCAACCAGCATGATATATATATTGTTCTATAAGTAATTTTTCTTCAAATTTACTGTATTTCTATGCTTCTATTGTGATGTATAACATTACTTATTTTGAACTTTTCAGTATTTTTTAACTTTTTCTACAGTACTACTGTTATAAACTTCCTTTAAAAAAGTGAACATTGCTGATACTGCAGTATATGCATGTAATAATCTTATGCCTTTATTGTAGCTTTTCTCTCATCAAATGTTTTCAAACAAAGAAAAATTTAAAAGATTTCCTCTATTAAAAGATTCTTTGGTATTATCTGTGCAAATTAATTTTTCCTTGGAGGATCATTGTATTTCAACAAAATAGCTGGACTTTCTGGCAGGTTTTCAGTTTGGAAATTCCAGAAACGTGGTTATTGTGTATAAAGTTTCACAATCACTAAAGCTGATCGAAAAAGATAATGAAAAAAATAATTGTTAAATTTGCTCATATATTATCTTGAAGCTTCTTTCTTCTCCTTATGTTTGATTCATTGGAAACTTAGTGTTTATAATCCCTTTTTTTTTACCATTACAAAAATATGACTGGAGATTCTTTTGGGATTTTTTGAGTTTAAACTCTTCCTTGGGAATTTCTCTTTCTTAAAGTGTCTTCATATCTTGCTCTACACCTCTCTGTTTTTACTGTCACATAGTTATATTATGACAAGTGTAAACTGAAGCCTTTTTTTTTGCTTTTCTGAGACCTTTCCTGAGGATTACATGTCCCAAGGTGTTGTTTACTTGTTTTACTTGATACTGGAAACTTCTGTCTCAGGATATCTTATTTTTAGTATTCCAGAAGCATTGTGTATAGCTTCTTTTCAACAGGATTCTGTTTTATTGTGGATGTTACTTTCAAACTAGAGCTAATTCTTCTCATTAATATGCTTCCTTGCAAAGTTTAATTTTGACAGGTAGTATCTGATAAATTGACACCTCAACAGGTTGTTAAAAACTTTTCCTTTACATCAAGTTACCAAAGTTATTTTCAGTCTCCATATCATTTCTGTTTTGTTTTCATTGGCACATCCTTTACTTGCTACACCTAATCTAGTTTGAAAACTATTGGCAGACTTTTTTAACTTATTTTTTCCAAGTTTCTTAAAAAGAAGTAGTAGTTTCACTATGAAATTATTTATGTAATATCTAGTTGGGTTTAGGTTTTATAGTTGTAGTTATTTCACTAAAAACGGAACAACATATACTCGCTTTTAACATGTATGTGCTCTTCATGGTGTTTAGCATTTTAGTATTGAAAATTAAAATTACTATATTTTTCTTGGTCATTTCAGTTTAGCATCACAAACATTTTAGTTACATGAGTTTAAGGGAGGATTCTTAAAGGAACACCCAACCTTTCTGACTGATAATTTTCTTTAAAGCATGTGTGTATCTTATGTTGGTTAATTACCAATACATTGTCATCAAAGGAAGATAACTACATATATCAAACTAAAAAATAACTTAGTAAATAATGTAATTAGTTTTTATATACTGACGTGAATAGAAATATATAATGTAATAAAACAAAAAATACTAATTAGAATACAGTGATACTAGAGCTGGGTGACTTAACTGATATTATCAATTGCCTGTGAGTCACAATTACATTAAGTAGGAGAGTTTATGGGGTCTAGACCCCAAATTTGTTTTCAGGAATTTCTTAACTTTATTCATTAATGTTGTGTAATCAGGCATAGATATATGGGAGGGACCAAACCCCCTCCACCCATTTTTTGTGGATTTAATAACTGTATTGTTTAATGTTTAAGTAGGCACAGGTGTGTGTGTGGATCTGAACACACTCCTATTTTGTCTTGAAAAATTATTAAAGCAGACATTTTCTTACACTACTATATCATATCAGAAAAAAACATTATATGTCAGTGTTTTTATTTGATTTGGTTATTAATTACCATAAAAGCTTTTTTTTTAAGGTTTTTGAAATCAACACAGCTGGGGTCAGAAATTGATTATTTCTAAGCTAATACAATAATATAACACTAGTTAAACAGCTGGGGTCAGTAATTGGTTATTTCTAAGCTAATACAATAATATAACACTAGTTAAACAGCTGGGGTCAGTAATTGGTTATTTCTAAGCTAATACAATAATATAACACTAGTTAAACAGCTGGGGTCAGTAATTGGTTATTTCTAAGCTAATACAATAATATAACACTAGTTAAACATTGCCATATGAATTCTCGTGCCTTTCCTTTTTACAGACTCTAACAATTTGTGTGTCTGGATTTCAAAGATTTTTTTTCATCGAAGCTAGTATTTTTAGGGCATTAGCAGCTCTTATAATATACATTTTTCTAACTCTTGAAACAACCCAAGGGACTAGATAAAGAAAGTAGTGTTTAATATATATATATATGGCTAGTATAATTATAATAGTGTTTTACCAGCTTACAAAGGGTGTTAACACCATAACAGTTGTTGTTATTATAACAAATGGCTTATCTAAGTAATGTTTCAACCACTACTGTGTTTGTTATATCACAGCTGGCTGGAAGAATTCTGGATTGAGCAAAATGTATCATCAACAGTGAATATGGCAAATATAGTATGGTTGGAATAATATTCTTCTAATCCTTGAAAGTTTCGAAGGGGACTAGATAAAGAATGTAGTGCTTATAAATAAATATATACATGATAGGCCTAACACTAATGTCTTATTACAAGTATAATTATAACATAGGCTGAAATAGTTTACCAAAACACAGAAATGTATAAATAGTATGAAACAAAAGTTACATGACTAGAAACTGCTTAAGGCTTAATAAGGTTTTTTTTTCTTTTATGTTTGCCACTTTGTTTAAAATTATGGTGTTTTCTGTTTAGTAGCTATACTATGGTTTTATTGAGTTGCAATGTTCATCAAATCAGATAAGTTTAGAGAAGTTTAGTTGGTATGGTAGTCAACTCCAAAATATTTTGATGACTCAAATTTTTTATTGAATATTGTTTTTGTTTATTTTATTCTTACAACATATATAAATAAATTGACTGATTGGCTACTTAATTATTTCTAATTGTTGTCGTGATGTGCTTTGAATAAATATTAATGCCCTTATTGGGTGATAGTAAATATTATACAAAAACTGAAAATGGGAAGATTAATAGCATTTAGTAAAATGCAGTGGTGGAATCATTATGAAGGCAGCACACATCCATATTTTTTGTTGTTGTTGTATGGGGGGAGGGGCTGATTAATTAATGGATGCATTGATTAATTGATTTGCAAATACCACTAATCACCCAGTTTTAGTTGATATATCAGTTAAGTACTCCTGTTCTTATTGATTGAATTGTTGAATGTTGTTTGATAACTTTTGTTTTTACTATTTGTTATTTATTTATGGGAAATTTGTTAAGACTTTGATATTTATTTGGATCTTATGAACTTTATATTTATATGTTAGGCTGCACTTAAATCTTCTACCTTAAACTCGGGAAAGTTTTACTTCTACTTTTACAGTAAATATTAATGTACACGAATCTGTGTACATTACTAAGGTTCCTTAAGTATTAATAATTGTTTGCATTATCCACTGTTTACTTTTTAATATTTCTATTATATCTGGAGACATTAGATTTTAACCCATTGGTTAGTGACTAGGATGCACATTCATTGTGATATAAGTAATGTGCAACATTTCCTTTCATAGCAAGTTGAACATACTTGTTACTTTGTATATGACTGTAAATAATATAAGAAACTTTTCTAATCATGATCAGGTACCTAAGACAATTGTGTAATTACTAGTACTAAGAAATTTCTAATAAAGATTATTATACATGTATTGTAGTTAGATATAGTAAAAATATTTATCGACACTAGACAAAAATAGTCTCCTAATAGTTTTCCATTAGCACTATTTGCTGTTTTAAGCTTGATTCTTATACAGGTATATACAAATTAAATTTGGTTCTACAGCTTTATTTCAGCAACTTTGAATACCTAGTCATAAGTTATAGCTCTAAACTCTGATTTTCCAGATATTGTATAATGTATTTATGAATGGAAGTTCCACTTGTTATTGCTATGTGTGGATGTAGTTCTTTATGTTTGAAAATTATGCATAATGTGCTTAAGAATGTGTTTTTATGGGTTTTGGAGGTAATATATATATATATGTACTGCATGTAGCTTTCACAGCATTAGCATACATAAGATAGGCTGATATGGCTTGAATATGTTTGCAAGTAAAGAATCCAACCTGGGATCCTGGATGTTTTTTTCCCCATATATCGGTAGGATTGGTACCAGCCTACACAGGAGCCTACTTGTAATACCGGATCAGATTTTATGCTCATCTATCCGGTTGGATTCAGCATGGTCCCTCTTTTTGATCAATATTGGTTCAATATATTGTTCACGGAAGAGGGTCCATTGTCCCCATGTAATTCAGAATGCTGAGTGGTCCCATTCTGGGCCCTTGGTTGATCATGTTTTCCCCATAATTCCAGGGGCAAGTGAAATTTACCTTGCCCACATGGTTGGGGAGTGAGGATGAGTGTTCATAATTCCAGACTGGATAAATTCTGTTTCTTCAGGTTGAGTATGGCATACAGGATCCCGTCATTCCAAGTTTGGGGTTTGCCTTTCTGTCTTCTTCAGGTTAAGGAGAGGGTTTGTCCATTTTGGTGTTACTTGCCTTCTTGGAACACATCACTTCATAGTTACAGGTTGGGATCCACTCACAAATGTATATATTGCAGTCCAAATGCCCTAGCCACCAACATGAAATTCAGGTACCATGGCCTTCTAATTCCAACTCTGAGCAGTGAGACCTTGGCTACTGAATGGAGCCTGGCTGATAGTGATGATGGATCACATCAAATTCCACCTGCAGTGCATGATTTAGGTTCCGGGTGAAGAGCATACGTGTTCTGGATATAGTGAAGTTCCCTCACTATAATGCTAATCTTCTCTTTCCTCCGGCATGCCCATGATCTATGCAAACGTATTCTGTTTCGATAATGCTCTCACAGGCCCATCTGCCTTATCAATGTGGGATTCTAGCTGTAGTATGAGAAGTATGTTTTGGAAGTTATCATTTTATTAAATCAAAAATGTATTTCCAATGATACTTACCTTCACTAACACTCTCCTGCCCTTCCTCCCCACTAATAGCCAGTGTTAGAGACTGTAAATTTGGGTCAGTCTTGAAAAAGTGACAATATTATCCGAAGGAGGTGGAGAGTGTCACGAGACAGATATTGCCAAGGGCAATTAAGTGGGGAATAAAAGACTGGAGCAAGCAAGATAAAAATCAGACAAATGCTTAGATGGGCAAAAGAAAAGAAAGCCTAACAATCGAGTAATAACTGTAGTGTGAGCGGAGGTAAGTATTATTGGAAATACATTTTCGATTTAAGAAAATACTAACTTGTGGTGCATTTATTCGGAGGCCTATTATGTTTATTGATATATGTGATTGTTAACCATTAAAGTAAATGCAATGTGAAATGTATGACGTGAACGATTGTTCAGTATTCATAAAAATTTCGATTCATTGCAAATATTCAAAATAAAATATCTTAAATACTTTCTCTTGAATTACGTGAGTATTTGAAAAACAAAATCTAGCAGATTGGTTGTTGGTGGCAAATAAGTATGGCTGGTGTATGTTCATTCATGATGATAAGAAACAAATTTAAACATAACATTTAAAAATGCACAAAATTAAAAGTGTTTTTCATAAAAATCAATAGTGCAAAATAAACATGAATGGAACCCTGGAATATTTTATGAGCCAGTGTATTTATTATTACTTCAGCAGAAAGTAATTGGATTATTATAGAGGATAAGAGCCATTAGTTAGATTATGTTACATGCATATTAATAAAAGTTAGACATCTGTACAGCTATGTAGGAGTTCTTAGCACTTATAATGTTCCTTGAAAGTTCATGCAAATTTGTATTTTTTCAAAGAATTGGTTGAGTAATGCATAATTTCTTTTTCCAATACCAGACATTTGAGAACATCGAGTGACCTTGATCAAGTTCATAACTCCCAGAACCGCCTCAGAGAAGAGTTGGAACAGAATAAAAGAACTGTTTCTTTTTGCCAAGAAAAAGAGAGGCAGTTATTAATAAAGAATAAAGATTTACAGATCAAGCTGAAGGCTGAAAAAGATGAAGTAAGTTTTATTTTTTATGTAGACATGTTTGTTTTATTTTCTGTATTATATGTCTGGAAACTGATGTTTGAAAAATTAAAAATTTGCTTTGAAACCTTTTTGTTGTACAGTGTAATTCCTTTTAATTTACATGCGAATAATATGGAAGATTCTGAATACTAGCAATGTTTATGTACAATATCCAATTATCTACATGCAATGTGGGCATCAAAATAACTTGTCATCTTATAACTAATATTTTGTTAATTCTTGCATATGAGAATCTAACTTTTAGGGCTAACAATCATAAATCATAAGAAAAAAGTAGTTATTTCAAAAAATGTTTATATATATATATATACTCCATAGGAATATTGAATGAATTGATAATTCCAAGCAACATTGTATCTTAAATCAGTTACATTTGTCATAAAACAGTAGTATTAACTCTCTCAACACGAGCTCGGTCAATTTTACCAAACACGTTTACCTCTTTGTACTCAGTTAAAGTCATTATAGATTTAATACTTCTAACTTTCAATATAGTATGTATATCTTCACAAAATTTGGCAATCTTTCAGTTCATATTATAAGTCTTTTACATACAAAAATTCATATTTTCTAGTGAAGTATTTTCAATAAAATAAAATAAAGATTTGTCCATTAATATATTGAGTATTTGTTTTGAATAGTCCGTGTGCAAAGTAATTTTCATGTTAAAATTAAAAATACTTTTCTTCATCTCAAAAATCTCAAATTTCCTTTGTGTAATCCCTAAAACCTCCTAAATGCATTTCAAACGTTTTTTTTTTCAGTAAAACTTTATAGTTTATCTGTTATTTTCTTTATTCTATCTCAAAATGAGATTGGTCAATTTGACCGACCTTGTAACCACCATAAAATAAATTTAAATAAACCAAATTATCCTTCTTTTTTTTTTCCTTTCTAGAATGACATTATATTGTAACGGGAAACTACATTTGTTTATCCTAAGTAGCTCTAAGTTCATAACTGTATACATCTATTTATAATTAAATTTTATTGTTTTATTGCCCTTTGAACTACTATCCGTGCCATTATAAGTTGTAAATTACTCAGGGGGAACGTGCAGTTCACGTTAAGCTATCAAATTACATTACCCACCAGCTGCTTGCTTGTGTCCCTTGTGAACCATTTTAATTATATTATTATTATTATTTATTTTACCTAATCTAGTCTTAAATAACTTTAAAAG